GGTACTAGAAGACAACAGGGCTTTTTTTGCCCCCTGGCAAACAGTTATTTATTGTGTATGCTATGTTTTCAGAAAGTTGAATATTTTTTCCTCTGAGCTTTTTAAATTAACACGTAAACAATTATCAGTATATATTTACTGAAGAAAATGTAAAATCCCAAAGCATCTTTTATATTCAAATAGTAAGGATAATAAAATAGTTCATTTAAAAATAAAATATGTATCAATTATCTAATATTTCAATATTGAATTATAAATATATATTATATATTTTTTGAGATGGAGTTTTGCTCTTTCATCTAGGATGGAGTGAAGTGGCATGATCTTGGCTCACTGCAACCTCTGCCCCCTGGATTCAGGCAATTTTCCTGCTTCAGCCTCCTGAGTAGCTAGGATTATAGGGGCCCGCCACCATGTCTGGTTAATTTTTATATATATATATATATATATATATATTTTATTTTTATTTATTTATTTATTTTTTTTGAGACGGAGTTTCACTCATGTTACCCAGGCTGGAGTGCAATGGCGTGATCTCAGCTCACCACAACCTCCGCCTCCTGGATTCAGGCAATTCTCCTGCCTCAGCCTCCTGAGTAGCTGGGATTACAGGCACGCGCCACCATGCCCAGCTAATTTTTATATTTTTAGTAGAAACGGGGTTTCGCCATGTTGGCCAGGTTGGTCTCAAACTTCTGACCTCAGGTGATCCGTCCGCTTCAGCCTCCCAAAGTGTTGGGATTACAGGCAGAAGCCACCCTACCCGGCCCTGTAGAGCTGTTTTAAGGATTAAATGAATATATATCTAAAGTCCTTAAAATTCTGCCTGACACATAAGCAATAAATAAATATTTCGCTATAAGTTACATTCTCTTACCTTTTAAATCTCTGTTTATAGATATGCCACATTTTTTTATCTAGTATACCACTTCACACATTCCTTCTGGCACTTAAATGATTTCAGCACAATGCAAAATAATTTATGCTATGTTCACATCTTAACTCATCTATTAGGCTGTGAGTTTCTTGGCAGCATCTTTGTATTCAGAAAGTCTGACAGAATGCTTTTAAAATGGTAAATTTGTAGAACTGCACGGCTTACTGCAACCACCGCAAAACTGTTGTCACTGGTGTACTTCTGCATATTTTACATGGTAAGATCTGGTTTTATCTATATTCTCTACATGCATAATTATACTGGGGTTAAACATATAATTCTGACACGTGCAATGTATATTACACAACATATTTAGAAATGCAAAGTATATAACTTTGGAACCGTCATTTAACATATATTCCAAACATAGAAATGCTGAAGAGAAACTATCAAAGTATTCAGCATCTGTCCACCAAAAAACATATATAAAAATATTTATAGCAGCACTATTCTTAATAGTCAAAAATTAGAACCAATCCTTTGACTGATAACAATTCTCCATCAATAGACTGGATAAATTGTATTTTCATACAACAAGATACTAAACAGCAGCAACTGTTACATGTGACAATATATCTGAAATATCCTGAAAACAAGCCAAACACAGGGGTATGTGATTACAATATGATTCCACTGGGCTTGCTTCCACAGCACATATACTAAAATTGGAACATGATACCACTTACATAGGGTTAAACAGACAAAACTAATTTATACTGTTAGAAAACAGGATAGCAGTTACCCAGGGAAAAGATGAGGGAGAGTGACTAGAAAGGCAAATTAAGTAGGTTCCAGGACACTGGTAACACTTTGCTTCTTCATCCGGGTGCTGATTACATATGTGTGTTCATTTTGAGAAAATGTACTGAGGTGTATGTTTATGATCCATACACTTTTCTGAATACATGTTATGCTTCAATAAATTGTACTTTAGGCTGGGTGCATGGCTCATGTCTATAATTCCAGCACTCTGGGAGGATGAGGTGGGAGATTCAAGACCAGCCTAAGCAACAGAGTGAGACTGTCTCTACCAAAACATTGTCGAAGACATACTAGCAGGGCATGGTGGCGCACCATTATTATTTTGAAGCTGCTATATGTACATGTTATAAAATAAACTAAATAAAGATTGTTAAAAAACAATTTTCAACATGAGAGAAATATAAAATTTTAAAACTTAAAATTTAATTTGAATTGGAACTTTCAGAGCTAACTTATTTTTTTTGAACAAGAGAAATTCTGTATCTCTGTTTTATCCTCTGAAAAGACTTAGAAATAATGATGACCAGTGGCAGCGAAGACCTCTAGAATACAGTGTGATCACTAAATGCTGTTCCTACCAAAATGAACTGGGATTGTTGGGTAAAATGGTCCTGTCACAAAAATATGCTTGAAATAGCATAGTTTTGTGCCCCCCCAAAAAACTACTAAGCTAATGTGAGAAGAAAATGGGTGCCACTCTAAAAAGTTCCCATTGGCCAAAGATGATTTTTAAAAAAAATTATGACTGCAATAGACTGAATCAAATGCTGAAAAAAAAAAAAGAAAATACCAACTAAAGAAAGTTCAATGGTCACCTTTGAAAGTTGCTAAACACTGAAACATTATTTTGAAAATTAATAAAACATGTAAACTTTCTTTACTGAAAAAACTTATTTCAGAAGAAATGCAAACTGGCAAATCGTTATTTTGCAACCACTAATGATATATTGTGGCTCTCAAACTGTGATCCCTATACCAATAATATCAGCACTAATTAGAATCTTGTTAGACATACAAATTCCTGGGGGTGGGGCCCAACATTCTAAGTTTTTACTAGCTCTCCAGGTGATTCTGATGAACGCTAATGCTTGAGCATCACTGAAATTATTATTATTGTAATCATCATCAATGGATGCTAAAGCCATCAGCTGAATGCACAACCCTATGATGGACGGATCAGGTTGACAACCCCTGAACCTACCGATCCATCTTAACACCACTAGAAACGGGAAAACCAGAGGTTTCTGTGCTTTCTAGTGCTTTCTGGTTTTTTTTTTTTTTGGCTCATGCTTATAATCCCAACATTTTGGGAGGCCCAGGTTGCAGGATTGCTTGAGCGTGAGAATTCAAAATTAACCTGGGCAACAAAGCAGGACCCTCCTCTCAAAAACAAAAGCAAAAAAACACAGTACCACCTATGACATTGTCTTGGGAAACAAACAAATAAAACCTGACTCTGAATCTTCAAGCCTCTAGATCTAACTCTCAATTTAACAAAAATAATGTAGAGAGAGGAACAAGGTAAGGTAAAGTATACTGTAAGGAAGATATCAGACCCAAATGCAAAATATGGAACATTTTACAGACAATGAGTATGTGAACCTTGGGATCCTACTTCAAACATCCATCTCTAAAAAGTCATTTCTGAGACAATCAAGGAAAACTGAACATGGATTGAGTATTAAGTATCAAAGAATCATTGTTCATTTTTAGCTATATTGTTTCAAGATTCACACTCAAGTATATATACACGAAATGCCAGGATGTCTACAATTTGCTTTAAAATATGGCACCAACCAAAAATAACAGTAATAGTATTAATATTTAAAATAAGATGAGGGAAAAATGAAACAAAAAACCAGAAATGTTGATAAATGTAAAATCTGGGTAACGGTAGATGTTAGACCATGCTCTTTACATTTTTGCTATAAATTTTTCATAATAAAAGTTTTAAGGCTGGGCACAGTGGCTCACATCTGTAATCCCAGAACTTTGGGAGGCCAAGGTGGGTGGATCCCTTGAGCCCAGCAGTTTGAGATCAGCCTGGGCAACATGGTGAAACCCTGTCTCTACCAAAAAAAAAAAAAAAAAAAAAGGCTTTACAATGTTTCAGGGAATCCATATAAGCAAGGAACACTGATACAGTCAAATCCCACTAAAATGACCGTAAATGAAATATATGTATGTATTTTTAAGACAAAAAGAATGACAGGAGACTATCAAATGTAGAGACTTCAATAAATATTTGAAAGATATTCTAGGAAATGAATTTTCAAAAACACAAGTAACTACGTTCTAAATGTCTATATATGGGAGTATCAATGAGCAACCAAAGGAGTCATCTCATAACCTAGAGAAGCAAAGGCCTTGGAAGCATAAGGCGCTTTCAAGGATGGAGGAAAAAGGCACAGAACAAAAGTCTATGTAGGCATCTCATTTGATTTCATTTTATTTTAATTATTAATTTATTTAGAGACAGAGTCTCGCTCTGTCACCCAGGCTGGAGTGCAATGGCACAATCTCGGCTCACCACAACCTCTGCCTCCTGGGTTCAAGCGATTCTCCTGCCTCAGCCTCCTGAGTAGCTGGGATTACAGGCACCTATCACCACACCCGCACAGGCTGGTCTCAAACTCCCGATCTCAGGTGATCCGCCTAAATTGGCCTCACGAAGTGCTGGGATTACAGATGAGAGCCAACATGCCTGGCCGATGCATCTGCTTTTATTAAACTTCGCTTTACTGCACTTTGCAGATACCACTTTTTTTTTTTCAGATTGAAGGTTTTTGGCAACTCTGTGTTGGTTCCATTTTCCAACAGAACATGCCACTTTTTGTCTCTGTGTCACATTTTGGTAACTCTCAAAATATTTCAAACTTTTTCATTATTATTTTACCTGTTACGGTGATCTGTGATCAGTGATCTTTTATGTTACCATTGTAATTGTTTTTGGGGCACCACAAGCTGTGCCCATATAAGACAGCAACCTTAACTGCTAAGTGTTGTGTGTGTTCTGACTGCTCCACCAACCGTTCTCTCCCCCTTTCCCGGAGCTTCCCTAATCCCTGAGACACAACCATATGGAAATTATGCCAATTAATAACCCCACAATGGCCTCTAAGTGTTCCAGGGAAAGGAACTGTTGCACATCTCTCACTGTAAATCAAAAGCTAAAAATGATTAAGCTTAGTAAGGAAGGCTGAGACAGGCCTCTTGTACCAGTTAGCCATGTTGTGAATGCAAAGAAAAAGTTCTTGGAGGAAATCAATAGTGCTACTCCAGTGAATTTAAAAAAATGATAAGAAAGTGAAATAGCCTTATTGCTGATAGGGAGAAAGTTCAAATGGTCTGGATGGAAGATCAAACCAACACAATAGTCCCTTAAGCCAAAGTCTAATCCAGAACAAGACCCTAACTCTCTTCAATTCTATGAGTTCTGAGAGAGGTGAGAAGTTTGGAAGTAGCATAGGTTAGCTCAAGAGGTTTAAGGAAAGAAGCCATCTCCATTTACATAAAATTACAAGTGAAAAAGCAAATTATCCAGAAGATCTAGCTAAGATAATTGATATAGAGTGGCTATACTAAAAAACAGATTATCAGTGTAGACAAAACAGCCTATTTATATCAGAAGAAGACGCCATCTAAAACTTCCGTAGCCACACAGGAGAAATCAATACCTGGCTTCAAAGCTTTAAAGGATAGGCTGACTCTCCTGCTAGGGGCTAATGCAGCTAGTGACTTTAAGTTGAAGCCAAAGCTCATTTACCATGCTGAAAATCCTAGAGCTCTTAAGAATGATGCTAAATTTACTTGGCCTGTGCTCTATGGATGAACAAGCTCTGGATGATAGCACATCTGCTGACAGCATGGTTTACTGAATATTTTAAGCCCACTGTTGAGACACACTCAAGTACTGCTCAGAAGAAAAGATTCCTTTCAAAATACTACTACTCATTGACAATGCATCTTGTCACCCAAGAGCTCCAATGGAGATGTACAAGAAGATTAATGTTGTTATCATGCCTGCCAACACAATATCCATTCTGCAGCTTATGGATCAAGGAGTAATTCTGACTTTCAAGCCTTACTAATTAAGAAATACATTTTAGGAAAAAGAAAAAAAGAAACACATTTTAAGGCCAGATTTACAGTCATGTGGTGGCTCATGACTGTAAATCTCAACACTTGGGGAGGCCAAGGTGGGGAGGCTGCCAGGAGTTTACCAGCCTCCACAACGTAACAAGGCTCTCTCTACGTAAAACAAAAAACTTAGCCGGGCATGGTGGCAAACACCTGTATTACTAGCTACTTGGAAAGCTGAGGTGGGAGGATCACTTAAGCCCAGAAGTTCAAGGCTGCAATGAGCTAGAATCACACCACTGCATTCTAGCGTAGGCAACACAGGGAAACTCTGTCTCTTAAAAAAGAAAAAGAAAAAGAAGGATTATTTTGTCTCCAGAAAGCTGATGTTGAACTGCTGGGCTCTGGCCCTCCAAAAATGGTTCTTCTGATATATCTGGGAAGAGAAAATCGAAAACCTTCTGGAGGCCAGGCAATGTGGCTCAGACCTGTAATCCCAGTACTTTGGGAGGCTGAGGTGGGAGGATCACTTGAGGCCAGGAGTTAGAGACCAACCTTGGCAACATGGTAAAACCTTGACTCTACCAAAATAAAAAAAAATTAAAAACAAAACAAAACAAAACAAAACACAAACGCACAAAAGTTAGCTGGGTGTGGCAGTACCTTTAGTCCCAGCTACTCAGGAGGCTGAGGTGGGAGGCTTGAGCCTGGGAGACAGAGGCTGCAGTGAACCAAAATTACACCACTGCACTCCAACCTGGACAAGAGGGCTAGACCCTGAAAAAAGAAAGAGAGAAAGAGACAGAGAAAGAGAGAGAGAGAGAGAGACCTTATGGAAAGGAATCATCATTCCAGATGCCATTTAAGAATATTCATGATTCATGGGAAGAGGTCAAAATACCAACATTAACAGGAGTTTGGAAGAAGCTGAAGTCAACCAAAATGAATGATTTTGAGGGGTTTAACACTTCAGTGAAGGAAGTAACTGCACATGTGGTAGAAATAGTAAGAGAATTAGAATTCAAAGTGGAGCCTAAGCCAGTTGCGATGTTTCACCCTGTTGGCCAGGCTGGTCTCGAATTCCTGACCTCAGGTGATCCACCAACCTTGGCCTCCCAAAGTGCTGGGGTTACAGGTGTAAGTCACCATACTTGGCCCATTTCTTAAGTATTTCTAAATTAAGGTTATGTAAACATTGTTTTTTAAGACATAATGCTATACCACACTCTTAACAGACTACAGTATAGTATAAATGTAACTTTTATATGCACTAGGAAACAAAAAAATCTGCATAGCTTGCTTTTTGGCAGTAATTACTGGCCTAGAATTGAACATGCAATATCACCTATGTATGCTTGTATACTACGAAGTTCCCTTTCCTAGTCCCATCTCTTACACAGAACAGAGGTGCATTCTCTTCAGAAACTGTCAAAGAAATACCAGACACATGGTCATTAGGACTTCAGAGAAAGAGGCTGAGAAACACATCTGAAAACAGAGAATTAAGAAAAATAAGAATGAGCTCTTAGAAACTAAAAACATGACAACTGACATAAAAATAGACACTTCTCCCCAAAATAATGAAATCTCCTAGAAGTAGAATAGAAAGCTAAGTCAGAAATTAGGAGAGGAAAAAAACCAAGAAATCTGAAAGATCAATACAGGAGACTTTCCCTGGAGGATCTAAAGTTCTAAGAAGTGATGCAATCTAAGAAATCATGTACGAAAATTCCCCAGAACTAAAATGTCTCCAGATTAAAAGGCCCATCAATTATTAGAAAATGAATTAAAGAAAAAAAATAAACAAAATCATGGGTTACATCACTGAAATTTCAGAATGAAGATAAAAAGAAAAACCAAGAAAACCCCCAAAAAAGCTTCTTGGGGGTCAGTTATGGCTTTTGACTTCTCAGTTGCAATACTGAAAGCCAAAACAATAGGGCAATGCCTTCAAATTATTGACTTAAAATGAATCTGAGTCTAGAATTGTGTACTTGGCAGAGTGCCAAACAAGCATAAAAATACAACAAAGGCATTTTCAGATTTGCAGTCTCAAAAATTTATCTACCACCCATTCATTCTCAGGAATCTTCTGGATAGATATGGTCCACCGAAACACAGGAATAATCCAAAGAGAAAGAAGCCATGGAAGCCAATCAATGGGTAATCCCCCACCCTAACAAAACAAAAGAAAAAGAATAAGAAAGAAAAAACCCAAGGGCAACGTAATTCCTTAGAGCAAGACAAAGAAAGCCTCCTGACAACACTGGGAGCATACCTACAGGGCGAGCAATCCAGACTGCAGCCAGAGAGGAATGGAAGGTTCCAAAAAAAGACACATCCAGGAGGAAACAATATAAACTGATCAATTATCTGTCAGGTAATTAAGAGATAAATTGTTTTGAGAGGTTTTATGGAGCTGTTAAAGGATATAGAAATACTTAGCTAAAAATTTCAGAGAAAAAAATACAAAAATTCAGCAATTACCTTTAAGAAAAAGGAAAGAAAACATAAAATATACTTAGCTCATCTGTTAACAGACATTTACAATATAACAATATAGTTAATTCTGTTCATTTAACCAAAAATTCTAATATTGAAAGAATGAAGAAGGGTATATGTGTTATGTGTTAAAGACCTAAACAATTATTAGGAAATGATAAATAATAAACAGCATATTCAATTTGTTTGAAAATATAAAAGAAAGGCTGGGTACAGTGGGTCACACTTGTAATTTCGGCCCTTTGGGAGGCCAAGATGGGAGGACTGCTTGAGCCCAGGAGTTCGAGATCAGCCTGGGCAACAAAGTAAGAGTCCATCTCTACAAAAACTAAATAATAAGCTGGGCATGCTAGCTCTTGCCTGTAGTCTCAGCTACTTGGGAGGATGGGGTGGAAAGACTGTTTGACCCCAGAATATTAAGGCTGCATTGAGCCATGATCACCCCACTGCACTCCCGCCTGGGTAACAGAGTGAGACTGTCTCTACAAAAAAAATAAAAATAAAAAATATTAAATACTCAAAGAAATGGCAAAGTAATTGAAAAAGCAGTTTGCCTCTAGAATTGGGACTGGGTTTGAGGCACAGCGGGACAGGGAACTACTACCGTAAGTAATTTTCTGCTATAATGCTGTTGGGCAGGCAAAATTCAACACATAAAATTTTCAGTCATATTTTAATATGCAGGCCGGGCACAGTGGCTCACGCCTATAATCCCAACACCACTTTGGGAGGTTGAGACAGGTAGACTGCTTGAGGTCAGGTGTTCAAGACCAGCCTGCCCAGCATGGCGTAACCCCATCTCTACTAAAAATATAAAAATTGGCCAGGTGTGGTGGCAGGCATCTGTAATCTCAGCTGCTCGGGAGGCTGAGGCAGGAGAATCACTTGAACCAGGAGGCGGAGGTTGCAGTGAGCCAAGATTGTGCCACTGTACTCCAGTAATGGGCTCCACCACCTAGCCAGTCAGGAGTTAATACAGGACTTTACCATGTAATCTTTAAACAATTCAGGCCTTTCCTTTATAAAAATTTAAAATATTAGATGGGTGCAGTGGTGTGCACTTGTAGTCCTAGCTACTTGGGAGACTGAGGCAGGAAGATCGCCTGAGGCCAGGAATTCAAGTATAGCTTGGGCAACAAAGTAAGACCTTGTTTCTTTGAAAATATTTATTTTTTTGGGCCGAGCGCGGTGGCTCACGCCTGTAATACCAACACTCTGAGAGGCCAAGGCGGGCAGTTCACGAGGTCAGGAAATTGAAACCATCCTGGCCAACACGGTAAAACCCCATATCTACTAAAATACAAAAAATTAACCGGACGTAGTGGCACATGCCTGTAGTCCCAGCTACTCTTGAGAGGCAGGGGAATTACTTGAACCCACGAGGCAGAGGTTGCAGTGAGCTGAGATCACACCACTGCACTCCAGCCTAGTGACAGAGCAAGACTCCATCTCAAAAAAAAAAAAAAAAAAAAAAAAAAGAAAATATTTATTTTTAAATATTTAAATTATTCACAAATAATTTCTATTTTTTTTAACAAATATGTGGTTTGTTTTATATTCTAAAGTAACTAGACATTAATCAAAATTAATACAAAATCCACATTTATGGGAGTCATAACGGATTCCAAAACTTATTCTGGAATAACTTACTTTGGAAAATGAGGCTACCCTTGCAACGTAAAAAAAAAAAAAAAAAAAAAATCAAAATAATAAAACTTTCCTTTAAATTGATAAACAATGATGTCAAAGAAAAGTCTGCTTAAATTGCTCATTGAATGAATAACTTTAAGCAAGCAACCCAAAACAGAAGCATCTTTGTTAAATGAATTAGAACTTTTTCAGTTCAGTGACTATTTTTATTCATTTGTTCATTTATCAAATATTTATTGAATGTCTTCTTTGAGCTGGACACCAGAAGTCCAGCACTAAGTTAGACAAAATCTGTGCCCTTACAGAACTTACAATCTAGTGAAGAAATATCTGCACACTCATATTTACTGCAGCAGTATTTACACTAGCCAAGATATGTAATCAATCTAAGTGTCCATCAGCAGATGAATGGCTAAAGAAAATTTTGTATATATACATAATGAAATATTATTCAGCCATTAAAAAAAATAAAATTCTGTTATCTGCAGCAACACGGATGAGCACAGAGGACGCAATGTTAAGTGAAATTAGTCAGGCACAGAAAAACAAATACCACATGTCCTCATTCACATGTAGAAAGTAAAAAAGTTGATCTCATAGAAGTAGAATAAAATAGTGGTTACAAGAGTCTGGGAAGTATATAGGGGAGGGAAGGATAGTGGAAAGTTGGTTAATGGAGTTTATGTATCAAAATATCATCCTATACCCCATAAATATGTACAATTATTATATCAATTAAAAATACATATATTTAAAATAAATTAGGTAAAATAAAAATTCTTGTGGGTATGGCAAATTTTTTAAAATCCCATTTAAAAAACAAAACTTCTGAAACATGATTCTTAAAATTGTTGGCAATATTATGAAACTAGCCTTTAAGAAATTCAGAAGCTCAAACTGTGACATAAAATCAGAACGCTGAAAGTGAAAAAATAACTAGCACTACAGATTATTTCGTCTATAGAAATAATAAACAGAAAGTTAAGTAGTGAGGCCATTTCCTCACATTTACTCTACATCTCTCTCACTTTTTCCCCAAAACATTTATCCTCCCTACCAAAAAACCCTCAAAGTCACCAATTACCTCCATCTGGACTAATCTAATGGACACTCTTCTGTTTCTCATCTCATGAGACCTGTCGACAACAGCATACAAACAATTTATCACTCACTCTTACCATTTTTAAACACTTCCTTTTCTTAGCTTCCCTTAACACGACACATCCCTGGCTTTTCCCTATCTGTCTTTGTAGATCTTCCTCTCTCAGATCTGTAGATTTCAACACATCCTCAGGGCAAAGCCCTAGGTCCTTTCCACTTCTCTATCTACACCCTTTTCCTAGATGATCTCATCCATCTGTAGTTTTAATATTAACCATACACACAAACTCTTATCTCCAATCCCAATCTCTACCGTGAACTCCAGATTGACTTTATTGAACTGTCATCTCTAGGTGGATATCTCAATGGCAATTAAAACTAGACCAAATATCCAAAATAGAACTTCTGACCCTCTCCCTCTGCCCTTAAAATTGTTATTTCATTTATTCATTCTACAAATATTTACTGAGCATATGCTCAGACACTGTGGTGTCCACTGGCACAATAATGTAAAACTTGGGAGAGATGGATTATAATAAATTATTAAAAGAGCGATGATGGATAGAAAGTGTGTTCTGATAGAAAATGGGGAGAAGGTTTATTTTTGATACTGTTTCAAGATCAGCCTCTATACCAGCCTGGGCAACACGCTGAAACCATGTAGACATGGCAACACCATGTCTACAAAAAATACAAAAATGAGCCAGGCAGGATGGCCCACACCTCATAGTTCCAGCTACTCAGAAGGCTGAGGTGCGAAGATCACTTGAGTCAAGGAGGCAGAGGTTGCAGTGAGCCAAAATCATACCACTGCCCTCTAGCCTGGGTGACAGAGCGAGATCCTGCTCCCCTCGCGCCCAAAAAAATGACATCTACCTAACTACCTAGGCATCTACTCCCCACAGGCAACTCATTAGGTGAATTTAGAGTCCCGACTATAAAATAAATCTCAATGCTTACCACTGAAGAGAACGCTAGAGTAAGCAGAGAGACGTGGACAATGACAACTGTGACAGATGTCACAGAAGGACATGCGATAAGCTATGAAACAAAGTTACAGTCAGACCTACCCTAGTCTGGAAGAAATCAGAAAAGGCTTTCTGGAGCAAGGAATAATTAGAATAAGCCCAGATGATCACTACAAAAAGCTAAACAAAAAGGTATAAGGACTATATCAAGAACAGGGAGCAGTACAGTTTGGCATATCCCAGAATCTACAATAAATCCAAGGTGATAAAATCTTAAAAGGAGGAGAACAGATTAAGACACAGTCCAGAAGAAAGCAAGAAGTTATCAAAGATTAATGAGGTCATGGCAAAAAGAAACAGAAGTCAACTAAAAAGGCTTCCGTTGGTCAAATGTGAGACAATTTGATTGGAGTGGATTAAAACACATTAAAATTCAACAGCTCATGATAATCTTTTAAAATGATAATTAAAACAAAAAATGTTCAGTGAACAACTCATTACCAATTACTTTGGAAAATGGCATAGGGAAATCATCTAATTTTTATGCTCCCTTTTCTGTAGCAAGGAGTAATCAAATAGTTGATAAAAGTTGTTGCAGCAAATAAATGCACAAAAAGTTAGAGAATCAAGATATCACCATTTTGTAAACTCTAACAAATAATGAATTCAAGCAATAATCAACAAAGAATGCTAAAATCATTAAAGGAGAAATTTATGTAACAGAAGAATAAGGCGATACCACCTGAAACTAGTACAAGTGGGGCAATCAGGTATGTAGCTTTGATGAAGTACACAACATCTACAAAATATTTTTATTGAAAAAAAGGGAACCTAAATATGATAAAATATCTAAATCTAATTTCAAGTTTTCAGGAAAGACAAGAAATAGAGGAATAAGTTAGAGCGAACTTACAGCAAACCTGAGCATCAGAATTGCATGGAGGGGGCTTTTTAAACCACATATTGCTAGGAAACCATAAGACTGCAAAAGCCAAACACAATGTGGGAAATTTCACATTTAAGCAGGGAGGGTTACTATAGAATAAAAATTACTTAAGCTACCTAACTGCAAATGCAATACACAGACTCTTAAGACTGACTCAAACAAACCTACCATAAAAAGACATATTGAGGTGACAGAAAATTGGAATATGGACTAAGATTAGCTTTTATTAAGGAATTTCTGTTAATTCCATTAAGTTATATTGAGTACAATAATAGTATAGTGGCTATTTTTTAAAATGTCATCATGGGGAAAAAAAAAAGTCAAAGCTAGTGAATTGGCAAAAGTCTCACTATGCAGAATAGGCAAAAGCCTTCCTTTAATGAGTCTGGGCCCAAACCAAGTGGTTCTTACACAAGACTGATATCGTAACAATAACAACTACCTCTGCTTCCTGAAAGCCACGTGCTAAGCACCACATTAAGTTCTTTACATGACTTATCTCTGAATCGTTAAAATAAACCTGTTATGAAGATATTACATTCTAAACATCATTTTGTCTGCGGTTCATGATCACAGCACATTTCTTTTTTTGAGACAGAGTTTCACTCGTCACCCAGGCTACAGTGCAATGGCATGACCTCGGCTCACTGCAACCTCCTACTCCCAGGTTCAGGCGATTCTCCTGCCTCAGTCTCCCGAGTAGCTGAGATTACAGGCACCCGCCACCGTGAGCCACCATGCCCGGCCACAACTGGCACTTTTTAAAAAAGCATAATGGGCCAGGCGCAGTGGCTCATGCCTGTGATCCCAGGACTTTGGGAGGCCGAGCCAGGTGGATCACCTGAGAGGAGGATTTTGAGACCAGCCTGGCCAAAGTGGTGAAATTCCATCTCTACTAAAAACACAAAAATCAGCTGGGCATGGTGGCGGGTGCCTATAATCCCAGCTACTCAGGAGGCTGAGGCAGGAGAATCGCTTGAACCCAGGAGGCAGAGGCTGCAGTGAGCCGAGGCTGTGCCATTGCACTACAGCCTGGGTGACAAGAGCGAAACACGGTCTCAAAAAAAAAAAAAAAAAAAGTGCTAATTCCCCAAAAAAGGATTCCTGCAAGGAAGGCATGATATACTAGAATGAAAACTAAATGTGAGTCTACTCAAAAACCTGGGTTACATAAAAAGATGCTGAATATGATCTTTGGGAAATGCAAATTAAAACCACAAGATACTATTAAAATGGCTATAATCAAAAGAATCAAAAAAACAATTAAGACAGTAAGTTTCAGCCAGACATAGTGGCTCATGCCTGTAATCTCGGCACTTTGGGAGGCCAAAGTGGGAGGCTACTCAGGAGGCTGAGGTGGGAGGATTACTTGAGCCCAGGAGGTCAAAGCTGCAATGAGCCGATTGCATCACTGCACTCTAGCCTGGGCAAGAGAGAACCTATCTCAAAAAAAAAAAAAAAAAAAAAACAAAATGTAAATTTTGTATGTTTTTTACAATAAAATGTTTTAATTAAATAACAATATCAATATTGAAGGGACTGTGAAGAAACTTTAACCTTCACGCACTGCTACTGAGAATACAAAATGGTACAACTATTTTTTAAAAGTCTGACAATTTTTTTTAAAGTTAAACACAACACTTAGCATATGACTCTGCAACCCCACTCCTAGGTATCCACCCAAGAGAAATGAGAATATATGTCCACATAAAGCCTTATACACAAACATGAACAGCAGCATTATTCATAATAGCCCAAACCTGGAAAAAAAACCCAATGTCCTCCAACTAGTGAGCGAATAAACAAATCATGGTATATCTACACAATGGAATACCATTCAGTAATAAAATTGAAGGAACTGGCTGGATAGTGGCTCATCCCTGTAAGTCCAGAACTTTAGGAGACCAAGGTGAGAGGATCGCTTGAGCCCAGGAGGTTCATGATGCATCAGGCATGGTTGCGCCACCACACTCCAGCCTGTTGACAGAGTGAGACCTGTCTCAAAAAAATAAAAGGAACTAACAAATGCAACAAATAACCCACACACAAGACTATGGGCAGAAAGTATCAGTGACCTGGTTGAGGAGGGGTTAGGCTGCAACACAGCATGAGGGAACTTTTTGGGTGATGGAAAAGTTCCAAAACTTCATTGGGGTGGTGGGTATACAATTGTATACAATGTATGCTTAAAATGTATTTACACTTTGTTGTGTATAAATTATAGCTCAATGAAATTGTTTTTAAAAAATCCTGGGTTGATTAGATCTGTAAGTTATTAGTTGTGTGACATTAACCAGAATTTTAATTTTTTTCTTCAGATATGCCTGTTCTGTTTCATTTCATCAGTTTTCATTTCTCACATGCACACGTTTCATTTTTAAAGTGAGCAATTCTACAATGTACTGCAGTTACTGGGCTTACTGATAATTCTTACTTCCACTAGCAAAAGTATATAGTTGTCTGTACTGCTATTTGCTCTATCTCGTAAGATTGTTGTGAAACATCAAATAAGATAACTGATGAGAAAGTCTTTTGGTAACTGTAAAACAGTATTGCACAACTATACAGTAGACTTTACTTTAAAAAATAGACGAGAAATTTTTTTTTATGTGAGTGACTTGAGACCCTTGTAAACCTAGGTACCCAAAGTCAATCTTTGCACAGAAACAAAGCAGTTGTCTATTCAAATGCCACCTTTTAAATATCCAATTGGAACCTGTTTCCTATTGTCTCTTGAGTTACTCAATGGCTCAATATAGTATTAACTAAGATGCACTTTCATTTTTCAAAGGAAAAACAACACTAAAGAAATGTTTAAAGAGAGACAGATGAGCATGGCACATTTATTTTTCAGGTGAAAAGACAGATTAGTGGAAAAATGTCTTCAATTCCACATGCATTTATTGAGTGTTTTCTGCTGAGACCTGCATCAGCAAGAGAGAGTGAATAATTTTAATAATATCAAAATTTCTTACTAGTGTGGCACAATCATTTCAATTTTGCCCGTTCCAAAATTTGACAGATTCTCTTTTTGTTTGTTTGTTTCTACTACTGCTGTACAACTGGGATCTCTCCTATCCTACCAAGTTTGTGTGGTATTTGACATTTAGCCTAGTTATATTTGCAAGTTTCCACACTGCAATACATATAAAGGCCGTTTGGACATAATCTCTTCCTCGGGCGCAGTTTAACAACTAAATTTTACTTTGAATCTAGGTGTACATCAAATCTTACAATTCTTAAAAGTTATTCTGTCAGCAACAGGTACTACAATGAAAAATTAACAAAGCCTGCAACACCACAAAATACTCTGCTAACCTTTTCAATTTTTAAGACTCCTTTTCAGTAACAGCTCTGAGGAGGAAGAATCTACAGCCAGTTCCAAGACCAGATTTCATTTAATTTGGTCTTGCTTCAGTAGTAGCCCTAAACTCTTAGGTTTCACATTTCTTTTTTGATAACATTAAGGTCGCTCGGTTCAGTTACTGCACACCTCCAATTTTAGCGTCCAAAAAACCTGAAAGAACAGCACCTTGCCTACTCACTCCTCCAACCTTCTCTCAACTCAGTAGCTTGGCCAAACGTGCTGCTCTCTCCACAACGCCAACCAAGCTGGAACGCAGCACCCGGAGGACGACTGGTCACGGGGAGGAGGGGAGAACTTCGCGGCCCCGGAGTACGGCGGCTGAGGTCCAATCCAGCCCGCGCCCAACTCCACTCTGTGCCAGGAAGGCGTGTGGACCCAAAGTCTCAGGCCGCGGTGCTAGGTCCGGAGGAGCAGAGTCGCGCGTGGCTGGGGACAGGTCGTAAACAAACCGGCGGGAGGAGGGGGAAGGGGCACCGGCGAGGGGGGTGGGGTAAGAGGAGAGATAGGACCTCGCTTCAACCCTCCACCGCGAGCCCGCAGCCGGCTCCACCCCACCGTGGACCAGGTGCTGGTTTCGGCGCGGCACTTCCGCGCGGGTCTCAACACCGAAGGCCCCAACACCCCTGGAGCTCGTAGCCCACAAGACCATCGGCTCCGCGACCCCAGCCCTACAGCGCCCTACCTGAACCCGCAATCTGGGTCCCGGGGGTCGCGGCCGGGCGCGCCCAGCCCGCTCCTCTTGCTGAAGAGCTTCTGGAACAGCGTAGGGGCCATGGTAGCCACGGCCAGGCAGGGGTCGCTCCGCTGGGCTCTTGCTAGGCCCCCGCTCCTACAGCCGCCCCGCCACCCCCATGGGCGCCTCAGTCATATGACAGAAATTAGTCACTTCAAACGGCCACGGCGCGCGGGGCGGGGCGTGAGGCGAGGCCGGCGCTCATTGGCTGGAGGTCGGCCGCATCACGTGGCGGCGCGCGGAGCAGGGGGCAAGGCGGGGGCGTGGGGCGGAGCTGTCTTCCATAGGCTCACTGACGGGTCCCGTCACGTGGCAGCTCACGGGGCGGGGCTGGAAGGTGGGTAGGGATGTGTAGCGAGAGCGGGGTCAGTGTCGATGCTCCCGCGTGAGGCTGTCAGCGGCCATCAGAGGCTAGCCAGGGTGGCGCGGGGACAATGCTACGGGCCTTGGAGTTGAGAAACCTTCGACCCCCATACCCACAGAGTTGCTTAGGGAACCACGGGCAACCGACAATCGCTTGTCAGCCCCTCCCTAGTTTCTGTGGCTTCACACCTCCATTCCGCACCCGGCAGAGTCAGGCTGGCCCTGTAGCACTGAAGGCACACGAACGTACCCGTGGGGCCGTGGTCAAGGCTGAACTTTGAGCCCAGGACCCCAGGCCCGTCCTTAGTAGGCCGCGCCGACCCGCGAAAGGTCTAGAATCTGGACAGCGCGGAGGCTGGCTCACGGGGACTGGTGGAGGACTTCGGGGCACCCTTGCCACAGCCATGGCACCCCACAAAGACGACCTTGGGCAGGGACTGCGGGCAGTCGCCCTCAGTGTTTATACTAGCGCCTCGAACCCTGACACAGGGAATTAGTCTCTTGGAAGAGCTAGTGATTGGAGGCTCAGGAGTTAGGCTGTTTCCTTGGTAACCAACAAAATCAGAAGTGAAACCAACGAAGGCAGGAAGCCTAAAGACATATATGTACAGATATCTAATCCTTTTTGCGCTATTTAGAATTTTAATAAATCTGTCTTAATGTTTAAGTATGATGAAGGGAGGAACTGTGGAATTTTAACCAAGTTATAGGGAAGAAACGCTTTCTAAAAAAGAAAAACCTTGCTTACATATGACCTCACAGTCTTATTTAATCCATGGAACCAAAATACATCAGTTTGGATCAAACTAATCTTATAAATTTTCAGCACCTCCATCCATTCACTCACCTTCCAGGATGAGGAAGCTTGTACAATGGGATGCAATTCCTCGGAGAAATGTAGGAAATAACTTGTATACGGTTGGAAGCCTGGATAAAAATACTTTGGGCAGGTGTGGTAGCTCACATTTGTAATCCCAACGCTGCGAGGCCAAGGCAGGCAGATCTCTTGAGCTCAGTAGTTCAAGACCAGCTTGGGCAACAGTAAGACCCTGTCTCTACAAAAAAAATTTTTTTTAATTAGCCAGGTGTGCCCGGGCACTGTAGCTCATGCCTGTAATCCCAGCACTTTGGGAGGCCAAGGCTGGTGGATCACACGAGGTCAGGAGTTTGAGACCAGCCTGACCAACATGGTGAAACCCCCGTCTCCAAAAAATTAGCTGGGTGTGGTGGCACATTACTGTTAGCCCAGCTACTCGGGAGGCTGAGGCAGGAGAAATGCTTGAACCCGGAAGATGGAAGTTACAGTGAGCCAAGATTGCGCCATTGAACTCCAGCCTGGGCCACAAGAGTGAAATTCCTTCTCAAAAATAAACAACACAGAAATTAGCCAGGTGTGGTCACTGCATATGCCTGTGGTCCCAGCTACTCGGGTGGCTAAGGTGGGAGGATGGCTTGAGTGTGGGAAGTCAATGCTGCAGTGAGTGCCACTTGCGCTTCAGCCTGGGCAACACAGCAGGGCCCTATCTCAAAAACGAAACAAAAAAAAAACTTTTTCGGAGTTTCATTTAACTAGGTATACAAATCAAATTTTCTTTAAGTGGCTACCAACTCCCACTGATTTGCAGCTAGAGTTTAAGCTATAAATAAGGGTCTGAAGATATTTACAAAAGAAAAAGTAATAGGCAGAATTTATATCCCTATGAGAATTTGTCAGTGACTGAAATACTGAGTCTCAATGTTCCAAGATTTTTTTAAAGCACTATTTATAAATGATTAAGATATTAACATATTCATTCCACAATCATTTAAATTCTAGGAAGTGGGGATCCAAAGTAAAGAGCTAGCTTTCTAGGTGAGAAGACAGTAAATAAGTATATAAAGTTATTTCAGGTAGTGACTACTGTTGTTAAGTTAGTAAGAACTTAGTAATCAAATGAGGGTGTCAGCAAACACTGAGGAGGTACTATTTGAGGTGCTTAGGTTGAAATTCATTCAGTTTCTCTGTATATTACCCAAGCTCCAGAAGCTACTGGGCAATATGGGATCAAAACAGCAGTACTATTTCACCTAGACATTTCAGATACTCCTCTGGCACCAAATGCAGAAAGATTTCTAACAGAGTAAAATGAGCTATGTATATTTTTCTCACAAAACATTTGAATGTAGAATGAAATTTTTGTAAACAAAAAAATAAAGTCAATGCAATTTTTAAAAAGTCAAAAGAAATGTAGATCCTATCAGTCAATTAATGGGGCAATCATTTGAAGAAGTTTTGTTTTTACATTAGTTAAGTTACACTAAATGAGTACAAGTGGAAACAGGCTCAAGTCTGTCTGTACAGGACCAAAGACACTAAGGATTAATGGCTGTTCATGACTGGCACAAAAAAGAATAGTTTCGGGTCCCCTCAGAAGGAACTTTCCAAATACAATAAACTTGTGTGCTTTCATCTTGGGAAAAAAATTACTTCATGGGTAATTATAGATACTAATCATGTAATAGCTTTATTTCTGTAGTCTCATTTAGTGTTATACTTGACAGGTACAGAGAAAAACTAGATTTACTTCCTATTATCCATCACATTTCTCCTACATTGCAGTGTAATACTAAAGTCACAAAATCAGAGAGCACTGAAATGATAGAAGTTTGTAATAAGAGAGGACACTGATAGACTGGATAAAGAAAATGTGGCACATATACACCATGGAATACTATGCAGCCATAAAAAGGGATGAGTTCATGTCCTTTGCAGGGACATGGATGAAGCTGGAAACCGTAATTCTCAGCAAACTAACATAAGAACAGAAAACCAAACACCACATGTTCTCCCTCATAAGTGAGAGTTGAACAATGAGAACACATGGACACAGGGAGGGAAACATCACACACTGGGGCCTGTCGTGATGGGGGACAAGGGTTGGGATAGCATTAGGGGAAATACCTAATGTAGATGACAGGGTGATGGATGCAGCAAACCACCATGGCACGTGTATAACTATGTAACAAACCTGCATGTTCTGCACGTGTACCCCAGAAATTAAAATAATATAAAAAAGAGGATACAACTATACATAATTTTAAAGATTAAATATTTCAATTTTAGTATCAGTGAATATTATCTTTTTCCCCCCTCTTACTTAGTACTACATCCCATCACAGAAAAGCTGAGGTGTCTTACAGGCAGCCTTTTTAAGTTTAACAAGTCAGCAAAGAGGAAATGTAAGAAAGAAAATAATTGCCGGGCGCGGTGGCTCACGCCTGTAATCCCAGTACTTTGGGAGGCCGAGGCAGGTGGATCATGAGGTCAAGAGATGGAGACCATCCTGGTCAACATGGTGAAACCCCATCTCTACAAAAAATACAAAAAATTGGCTGGACATGGTGGCTCGTGCCTGTAATCCCAGCTACTCAGGAGGCTGAGGTAGGAGAATTGCCTGAACCCAGGAGGCGGAGGTTGCAGTGAGCCAAGACAGCGCCATTGCGCTCCACCCTGGGTAACAAGAACGAAACTCTGTCTCAAAAAAAAAAGAAAGAAAATAATTATCTACTCATTCACGTTATATCAGTGTGAACTATTGGGTAACAAAGATTAGACATAAGGCCTACACTCTCACTCAAGGGTAGAAGATTCAGTCTCCCCAAAACTTCAACAGTCTGGGTTTCTGTCCACCTGCTTCAAAGATTCCCCCCAATAGCATAAAAGACATGGGTACACTTTGCTATAGGCATTTGCTGGTTACCACATGTAGGAAAAGGTGGCAACAAAACTAAAATCTTCCTCCTTTAACCACCATACTAATAAGTATAGCCTCAATTATGCTGAATTATCCTGAAACAAATTATAATTTCATTGATAATATCTCATAACAAGACATTAAAAATCAAGATGATCAAGTATACCTGCCTGAAAAACATTTAGATGGGCTCAAAGTACCTCACTTTTAAAAACTCTTAAACCAACTGACCATTTATTGCTATATAATAAGGAAATGGCAGTAGTCTCAGGCACCAGAAAACATAAACAGTGATTAATTCAACAAACATTTCTTGAGTCCCTCCAACATCTCAAACTCTAGGTATGGCGAATATGGTACAGAACAAAAGAGTCCTTATTCTTAGAAACTGAGTTTTTTTTTTTTTTTTTTTTTTTGTGAGAAGAGACAAAATAAACAAGATGTTTGCAAGTTGTGCTAGGAGCTAGGAAAGAAAGCATGGATAGCAAGCAACTAATGGAGACCAAATTTAGATAGGGTGGTCAAGGAAAGCCTATCCAAAGATGTGGGATTTGAGCTAAGATGTAAAGAATGTAAAGGAACCAGCCATAGGAAGAAGGTGGTGAAGAACATTCTGGCAAAGGGAAGAAAAAGTACAAAGCTCTAAGAGAGCTTTGGGCCTGTTTGAAGAGGAGAAAGGAGGCCAGAAGAACGAAAACATACTTTGAGAATGGGAGATGGTTTGAAATGGTTAGAAAGATACAAGGGACCAGATTACATAGGACCTTGTAAATTATGGAAAGGAGGTCAGACTGAGTGTGATGGGAGCTGTCAGAGGAGTTTAAAACAGCGAGGGACATGATACAATTTATGATTCTACTGTGGCTGTTCTGTGGATAAGGAATTTTAGAAGAGGAAGAATGGAATCAGAGAAATGAAACAGGTGACTATCTGTACTTTAAGAGAGAATCAATGGTGGCGAGCAAGTTATTTTGGAGATACACACTTGTAATAGGAATGAAGGAAAGAATAATCAAAGATGATTCCTAGGTTTTTGCTGTGAGCAATTAAGTAGAAGTCATTTCCTGATTAAAAGACCAGGGAACACATGGATTTGAAGAGGAAAACCAAACATATTAAGTTTGGATGT